AAGCTGCGTTATATTTATCTTCATTTAGCGAATTAAATAATTATTATTGATTGACAGGTTATTAATGATTGATAGGTAATTAATGATTGACAGGTCATTAATTATGCATAAGGTAATTAATGATTGACAGGTAATTAAAATGATTAATGACCTTTGGCGGCATCATTGTCGGCATCATCAAAGGAAAATTTGGTTCCCAGGCCATAGTGCCGGAGGCCGGAGGCCTCCACGGGCGAAGCCCGCCCCGGCCGAAGGCCGGGCCCGGCCGCAGGCCGGGCTTATAGGGCCCGGCCGGAGGCCGGTTTTTTTTCCCCACTCCCACTCTCCCCTCCACTTTCCGATCGCTATATATACGGGAACAAGACCTGAGAAATTCAGTTTATCACAGCTCCTCGCTGAGTAAACAACTGGACGATGGGCGATTTTGATGATATTTTTTTTGGTCAGTTGTTTAGAGAAGCGATCCTCAGAAGGCTGGCCTGGCGGGCACAACAATTGGATCCGTCGGAAGAGGAGTTGGGCCCTTGCGACTCATCTTCTGCTTGCCCTCTGCCAAGGCCGCCATCACCTGCGGGGCCTTGCGATAGCACCACGCAAGTGGTGGATATCGACATCGGTGATGTCGATATGAGTGGCTACGAGTCAGATAATATATCGGTGATCGATATATCGTCTGATTCGGATAGCGATTCCGGCTCGGATTAGGGCGTATGCTCTAGCCGCAAAAACGGCCCTTTTCAGGGCCAACAAAAAAAACAAAAAAAAAAGGTGCCATGAGCGTTATAGAACTTATGGGGACAGAAGAAGAAAGTGGTGGGCTCCAGGAGCCCGCCCTCGTACCGTTAGGCATCGGGCTATTTGTACCCGCTATCTAGTGAAACCGCGACCAGGAGAACCCTTCCCAACTCCGCACTCCTAAAAATTAGCGGGGGCCGAATTCCTTTTTTCTTTATTTTTAATTAGTTACAAGCATCATTGTAGGCATAGTTACATTTGTTAGTGTGTACATTCGAACTTAAATATAGAATCTCTCAAAACAAAGTAATATAATTAGTATTTAGAGTATAGTAAAAAAAATAAAAATTGGATAATCCCTTAAAACCAAATTATTAATGTTATAATAACGTAAACTAAAATGAAATAATCTAATAAGAAAAACAACTCCTTAAGTTAGATTGTGTGTTATATACATAGTAATTAGTAAGCAAAAGAAAGAGAGAAAAAATAAAAATATAGTTATAGTATAGCTTTAGAGTTAGTTAGAAGAAATACAGTTAAGTAAGAGTAAAAAGCGAAAGATTAATTTGGTTGTACCTACATGGTATCCGTTTTTAGAGATCGCGCAGGATCATTGGTCAGTGATGAGCCTGTCGTTCGAAACAGCGTCCCTTTGTTGTTTATTCCCCCGGGTCGTCGTCGTCAAGTAGTTCGTCCGCCCATTCGTTAATCCAGCAAGCCAGATCTTTGTCTGTAAGGTCTATGTCTTGTGGTAGGTAGTCAAGTCTTTTTGTGTCGAGTCTCTGTCTGAGTGTGGATCTGGCTGCTTGTCTTTGGTCGCTAGTACAAGTGTAAATAATGTGGTCTGTGTCTTCTGTCGTGTCGTCGATGTCGCAGGTACCGTCTGTATCTTGTAGGTTAAATCTGTGGAGATAGGCTTTCATATTTCCGTGGCCTGTTAGTATTTGGATGGCTTTCCTATTTAAGTTTAGGTGTTTATGTCGTGCCGTTTTTATGTATTTGTAAGTTGTTCGTCCTGTTTGTCCGTTGTCCCATGTGTCTTGCCATATGCTCATTATTTTGTCGTGTCTCTTTCGTCTTATAAATGTTTTGTCGGTGTATTGTGTGTTGTCGGTCGGGTGGTTGTGGGCCTCGTCTGCTAGCCTGTGGGCTCTTTTGATGCCTGTTGTATTCCTGTTTGCGTGAGCGAATGTGATTTTTGTGTTGTGGATTGTAGCCTGTTGGTTTAGTTTTTGTATTTTTATCGCTATTTTTTGTGATGTGTTTGTCTTTTTTAGTGTGTCAATCGTGTTTGTTGAGTCTGTAAGTATTTGTATGGTTTTTGACCTGTATGTGTCGATGTTGTCTGTTATGTGTTGCATTGCTTTTAGGATCCCTAGTAGTTCTAATGTGTTTATATCTTTGTCTGTGTCAACTTTTGTCTTGATGTCGGTGTGTGTATGTTCGTTTTGTATTGATATGGCTATTGTCTTGGAGTCCCCTTTTATGCTGGCGTCCGTGTATATTGTAATGTCTGTCGTATGTTCGTTGTTTCCAATTTGTAGGTGTCTGTAGGCCGGATGGGCTTTGTCTGTTGTCTTTGTTCTGTTGTTATTGATTTCGTCATGCATTGTGTTGTATGTGAAGTGGCTGGCTCCTGCGTCTGCTGCCAGTGGTGTAACTCCTGCTAGAATCGGTAGTGTCAGGTTTGGTGTTGTCTTGTAGGCTTTGGTAATTCTTAGCAGGAATGGTCTTTCCGTCGCATGTAAGTGTCTTGTTATCCTGGTGTCTTTATGTCTGTGTCCCCATACCTCCGATCCATATAGGACCATGGGTTTTATCCCATGCTCGTACATGTATCGGAGTATGTCAGGTCTGCGTCCCCAGTTGCGTCCTGTGATGGCGTATAGTTTGTTGGCAATATCGGTTGTCTTTTGTCTTGTTCTTTTTACGTGTTCTATAAATGTCAGTTTGTTATCTATCGTGAGTCCAAGGTATGTAACGTGTTCCTTTATGTCCATATTACGTGTCCCGTCTTTGATTCGTGGTGGTCTCGTGTTGTTGTTGTGAGGTATGAACATTAGTTCTGTTTTGGTTGTGTTGTATGTCAGTTTGTTTTGTGATGCCCAGCTTACGCATTTGTTCCATGTCTGTGTCCATTTGTTCTCTAATTGTCTAAGTGATGTTCCTCCAAGTAGTATTATTTGGTCGTCAGCGTAAGCTTGGTATAGGTCAATGTCAGTCATGAGTGTTTCTGTCATGTCGAACCAGTCTTCCATGACGAGCAGCCAGAGTATGGGCCCAAGGCTAGACCCCTGGGGACATCCTCTTGCTGTCTCGTCTGTTATGTCTTCTGTCGTAATTCGTCTGTCTGTTAAGAAGTTAATACATGTCATTGCTAGTTTGTATGGTACGTTGCGTCTTTGTAGTATCTCTGCAATTTTTGGTGTCCATGCTGTATTAAATGCGTTTTTTAGGTCTAATGTAATTGTCAGTGTATGTCTTTTGTTTTTGATGTTGTCCTTGATCTTGTTCGTAACGTTGATAATTGCGTCTGTAGTTGTCCGTCCTTCTCTAAATCCGAATTGCCTGTCATTAAGTCCGTTGGTAGTTTCTAGGTAGTGTGTTAGTCTTCGTGCTAGTATTTTGTCCAGGATTTTGCCCATTGTCGGTAGTAAACAAATCGGTCTTTGTCCCCCGTCTTTTTTACTTAGCCATATCATGTCTGCGTCTTTCCATGTTTTAGGGAATGTCATGTTTGTCCAGCAGTTGTTGTAGAGGTTGTAAAGTAGTTGTGGGTGTGTATCGTTAATGAGTTGTAAGGTTTCCTTGTTTATACCGTCTTGTGCTGTTGCTTTGTTAGGTTTCATGTCTTTTAGTGTATTTGTGATTTCTGTCATTGTTATTTCCGGTTGAATGTCGTGGTTGTCGAAGTTGTATGAATTTTGTCGGAGTGTTTGTTGTTCTAGTGTGTCCTGTGCGATTTCGTCTGTTGGGAAATATTTAGCATGTAGATATTTGATTGTATCGTGTTTGTCCTTTGTCCACGTTCCATTTTCTGTTTTTATTGTAGTGAGGCTGTTTGGTTGTTTTTTCTTGCTGCCTATTATTTTGTAGGCTACTCCCCATGGGTCATTAGGGTCGTTGTCTGTTAGTATTTGTCGTAGTGATTGTCTTTTGTGGTCTTTGATTTTTGTTTTGTAGTATTGTCTTTGTCTTATATAATCGTCGTATTTGGTCTGTCTTATAAATGCATTTTGTTCTGTCTGGTATCTTTTACGTGCCTTGTTTGTGTCCTTTCTTAGTTTGTCAAGTTCCGTTGTCCACCATCTTTGTGTTTTTTTGGTCTTTGTTGTCGTGTTGTTGATGGTGCTGTTCTTTAAGGCTTGTTGTATTTTTTCTTGTGTTTGTTTGGCTGTTTCGTGAGTGTCGTCTTCGTGGTTAGTCCAGTCCGTGTTTTCTATTTCTCTTTGTAGTATGTTTTTATTTATCTTGTTTATGTTGAATTTAGTTTTTTTTGTTCTCGTAGTGTGGTGTTTTACTTTGTCTGTGTTGTATGTAACGTATTGGTGGTCGCTTAAGGTGTCTTCGTCTGATACGTCCCAGTCAAGTATGTTTGTATGTCTTGTAATGGTAAGGTCTACCCAACTTTTGCCTCTGTTGGAGTTGAATGTCGGAGGGCTGTCGTGTGTATTATTTATTGTCATGTCGTGTTGTACTGCCCAAGTCATAATGTCTTCTCCGCGTGTGTCTGTTAATGTGCCTCCCCAGCTGGCGTTTTTGGCGTTCATGTCTCCCGCTAGTATGAGCCGTGATGTGGTATTTTCGATTTTGTGTTTGTGTTTGTTTAGTCTTGCGTTAATGTCACCTCCAGGTTCGTCGTAAATGTTTATAATTTTTGTTTTTGTTGTGGTTGTTTCAATTGTAATTGTCGTCGTGTTGTTGTCTGTCATTTCTGTGTGAGTGATAGTTTTGTTCGTCCATTTTTTGTGTATTAGTATAGGGGCTTTACTGTCTTTGTTTATTATGTCGTAGTCATGTTGTCCGTTAAGCGTGTGTGAGGGTTCTTGTATAAGTCCTATGTCTATGTTTTCTTGTATCATTTTATTTAATAGTTGGTCTGCAGCTTGTATACCTCTTCCCATGTTAAATTGTATGAATTTCATTTTATGTCAGGAACCCTTCTGTTGTTTTGTCTTGTCTGTTTGTTTTGTGTTTGTGTGTGTAGTTGTGTGTTGTTTGTTGTTTGTTTGTTTGTTGGAGGGTTTTTGTTTTGTGTTTTGTTAGTTGTATTGAGTTTGCGCCCTTGCTTCGACCAGTTTTCTTATGTAAATCGGGCAGTTTGTGTCTCTTGCTTGGTGTCGTCGTGGTGTCAGTCGTAGTCTTTCGCAATTTGTGCAGTTATATTTGTCCAAGTCCTTGTCGCATGTATTTCCGTCGTGTCCGTCACCGCATTTGTAGCACGAGGGCGTTGTCTCTTTACAATGTTTGGCTACGTGCCCATATCTGCAGCATCTAAAGCAGAGTGCTAGCTGTGTTGCTTCATTAACATATATAGTTTGAAAATCTAGGTATATTTTTTCCGATTTGAGTAGATGTTTTATTATGTCCGTTGGTCCTCGTAAGTATACGTTTTCTTTATAAGGGTTCCTGCACGGTCTTGTCGATACGATGTTTAATAGTTTTAGTCGGTCCCCAAAAAGTTTGTCTAGGTCGTCGTTTTCAAGTTTTAGTCCGTCTGTGATTTCGTCGTGCGTCAGTGCTTTTCGTATTCCTGTTAGTATTATTGTCGGTTCATTGTGTCTGGTCCCGTCTTTACTGTCAAGTTTTGTGGAGGTTTGGGTGCGTCTTAGAATCTCGTCTTGTTTGTCTTTTGATTGCGAGGTCAGTACTATTGCTGTTCGTGTGTGTCTTATTTGTGTCCCCTCTATGTCTTTTGCTTTGATTATCTTTTTTAGCTCCGTCAGAGTGTCTCCCTGTTGACCTTCCTTTAATTTTATGACTGTGTCGAATTTCTTATATGGTTCAGGGGTGGTCCAGGGTTTTTTGTCCTTGTTGTCTATGTTTGTCGGTCTTTTTGCCAGCTGAGCGTATGTCTTTTGTCCGAGTGCTGGGAAGTCTGTATCGTTTATTGTTGTCGGGGTATGGGGAGTAGCGCTGGTGTTAATTGTTGCGGTGTGAATCTGTTGTGTCAATGTCTTGGTACCTGGTTGTGGATTGTCCTTTATAGCTTGTAATATTTTTGTTTGTACTTGTTTTAATTTGTCTTCTATGTTTGTGGTGCTATTGTCTCCTTTGTTTCTGTCGTTCTGTTTTAAGTCGAAGTTTTCTTTTTGTAATTTATTTATCTCCGTCTCTTGTACTAGAAGGAGAGTCAGTATGTCTGTGTAGATATTAGTAATTTCGTCCATGGCCGAAAGGACCGTTTTTTGTTCTTTTGTCGCGAAGGCTATTTTACCCCGTCCTTCGGGCGTTGTCCGTATTACCGCTTCTCTAATTTGTTTTTTCAGGTCTTTTATAGTGTCTGTAGATGTCTGTATAAGGTTTTGTGCTTGTGATTTTGTCTGTTTGGGGTCGCTGTTTCGACCGCCGTGCTCGTCACTCACCTGAGGTGTAAACACTCCCGCACTCGGAACCGAACTTGTCGCGCCACTCGAATTTTCGTTCTCTTTTTTCCTTTTTTCTTCCTCTTCTTGTCTGCGTTTTTCTTCCTGTGCGGCCTTATTTTGTGCCTCTTCTCTCCGGCGTTTTTCTTCCTTTAGTTTCTTTTCCTCTTCAGCTTTTGCCAAATTTTCGATTATCTTTGTCAGGCGTTTGTCCTCTTCCAGTCTCCTTTTTTTTTCTTCTTTCTCTTCTTCCTCCTCCTCTTCTGGGCTTTTACTGGTCTGGTCTGCAGCGACCTCTTTTTGGTCTCTTTTCTTTGAGCTTTCTATATTGGCTTGGGTCGCTCTCTTTCTTTTGGACGGTGCTTCTAAGCCCTCGTATTTTTCGGGTGATTCCGATGCGATCGATTGCCTGCGAGCGACTGGTGGGGATCTATTCACTGAGCTCTTCCTGGAGATCACCCCAGTTTTCTTTATCTCATCCTCAGCTAGTTTAATGGAGTTGTCTAGATCCTCCATTTCTGTGCTTGGTTTTCCTTCTGCCATTTATATATGTGTGTGGTCAGATTTTGGAAAGTATGTGGAAAGTTATTTTTGTAGAAAAAAAGGCTGATTCCTGCTATGCAGGAGTCAGCCTTATAACTGGGGTCGGAGCCCCGCTCGCCCGACTTGGAACCCCGAGTAAGGTTGCCGGGTTTTTGCGGAGCACTTCGCCTGTTTGTTCGTTCGATTTATTGGTGGTAATTCTGTTATTGTCTGGTGGCTATTTTGTTTTGACTTTAACGTTCAAATAGTAGCAATACTCACAGTTTTTTCTACCACAGTATGTAGACTTAACTCCGGTTGTGTTTCACTACCTGCGCGGCGAAATCGCGTTTTCGCACACGTTCGCGCAGGTTTGGGGCCCTCACCTGCGTTGACGGGTACACACACGATTTTTTCGCGTCTGCGCGTCGGCTTTGATTTTTGCACCGGAGCACTAGGGCTCTTACACTGTATAGCTAACTGTTCGATATCTCTCGAGGTACTCGGTTTTGCTCACTGCGCACTAGTTTTGTCCGATATTAAGTCTCGGGCTGCGCGGCGGTATCACAATAACTTCACGGTTCCACGCAGGTTTGGGGCCCTCACCTGTGTTTTGACGTATAGCCGTTGTAATATTCTCGCGCCTGCGCGTCGTCTCGAAAACTTTCACCGGAGCACTAGGGCTCAACTTATCGCTAACTGAGTTTATCACGAAATTTAATGTGTACACACACGTCTGCTCTGGTCGATGTCCAAAGCAGAAGTATGGGGACATAAAGATATTCAGGAATATCGTAATGGACCTCGAAAAACTGTGGCTCAATTTAGATATAACGTATAGGCTGGAGGCGCACGCGGGCGAAGCCCGCGCCCGGCCGATTTTCTTCTTTTTTCTCCCACTCCCACTCTCTCCCCTCCACTTTCCGATCACTATATATACGGGAACCAGATCTGAGAAATTCAGTTTACTACGGCTCGCCGAGTAAACTATTTAATTCTTTTCGAGTTATTTTTTCAGTTCTCAGCAGTGTTTCAACATGACTTCAATCGAAGAGACGATCGCCGCAGCTAACTCAATCATTTCAATCGATGCTGTGGAATTCGATTTTGAGGAAATCTTCAAGGAGTTGACGGTTCCTTCACCGGTATCGCCGATGGAGCTGTCGCAAGTGTGCGACATCCCATTACCGGCCCCGTTACCGGCTCCTTTGCCGCTCCCGTCACCAGCTCCGTTACTAGCCCCAGTACCGGTATATGATAGCGGAGACGATTTTGAAGCGCCCAAGAAGATCCGGGTCCTCAGCGATGTACGCGTTGATACGCTACCCTCGTCAGCCACATTGTCAAAGCTTGTCGGCACAATGGAAGATGCGCCCTGTAGGTCGAAGCCAACGAGACCGCGGGTGGTTGTGCCGAAGAGTAGAAAGCCGAGAGCCACCGCAGCGAAACCAAAGACCGCGCCAGTAAGGAAGTTGAAGGCGGTAGCCTCAACAAGTGCGGCGATACCAATCCCAATACCGCCCAAGGATGACGCCGAAGAAGACAGCATGAGGAGGAAAATCAACTCCGCCGCCACCGTCCTATTGAATAAGGAGACGCGGTATAATGCTGATAGGGAGCAGTTAAGTATCACTGAAGCGACACTAAAACAGCTGAGGATGGAGGTGGATGGTATGGCGAGAGATATGGAGGTTACCTTAGCGCCACTTCAGCGCGAGACTGAAGGATTGGCAGATGAAGATGCCCGCATCCAACGGCACTTGGTTGACTTGCAACGGCAGATGGATGAGACCATTCATCGTCGGAACAATGTGCGCCAAAGGCAGTTGGATGTGGGCATTGAAATTGCTAGGGTCAAAGAGACCCAATCGGAGTTTGAAAAAAAGAAGGGTGCATATGATATGATGCAGGGCCGGTATCGCGAACTTATTGAGCGGGCGCGCGTTAGGAGTGCGGACTACACAAAGTTTTTGGATCGCATTGTGTTGCATAAGGACAGGTAGACATTTTTTGGTATTTGTTAGTTTATTAGTCGTGGAGATATGCCTACAGGGGAGCTAACCACGTTAAAAAAAAGCAGCGCGCCATGAGTTCTATCTCCATATATTATGATTAGTTTATGATGATAGGCTAGTTGTAATATATAAGATGGTGTGGAAACGAACTCCCCAATATACTTCTTTACAGACTGCTGATGCTGCCGCTGTCGATGGTGATGGAGAAAGTATGGGCTACAAACAGTTTCTGGGGCACATAGTTTTGCATAAGGACAGGTAGACATTTTTTGGTATTTGTTAGTTTGTTAGTTGTGGAGATATGCCTACTGGGGAGCTAACCACGTTAAAAAAAAGCAACGCGCCATGAGTTCTATCTCCATATATTATGATTAGTTTATGATGATAGGCTAGTTGTAATATATAAGATGGTGTGGAAACGAACTCCCTAATCAGAGCCAAACAAAACAACAAAATTTTAAGATATAAAAGTTTTATTGTCGAAAGTCTTGCACTCTTAATTTTTACTATTTAATAATATAATAGCGAAATTTTAAGATATAAAAGTTTTATCACTGAGAGTCTTCCACTCTCGCTTCTCCCCCACTCTCTCCCCACTCTACTCACTTTTTTTCAATCACTATAAATACTCATCGCACATATGCATACAATCATTCTGCTTCATGATGTGCGATTCTGCAAGTGGCTCTGGTTTCAGCCCACCCGGACTATGTAGGACAACCATCGCATGGTTGTTTCCGACCACGTCGGAAGAGGAGTTGGGCCCTTGTGACTCAACTTATTCTTCTCCCCCTCTGGCAAGGCCGCCATCACCTGCGGGGCCTTGCGACAGCACCTCGCAAGTGGAAGTGGCGAATATCGACATCGATGATGTTGATATGGGTGGCTACGGCTCAGACGATATATCGTCTGATTCGGATAGCGATTCCGACTCGGATTAGGGTGTATGCTCTAGTCGAGAAAAACGGCCCTTTTCAGGGCCAACAAAAAAAACAAACAAAAAACGGTTCCTTTTAGAACCAGCAAAAACTAGCGGACTGCTCAATGGGCTAAAAATTATAATTTTGCGTCAATTGTAATTTAAAATTGGTCCCACTCAACATCTATCCCACCATATTTTTAATGGTAGAGTAGAAGATATTTCGTCTTCCGAAAAAATAATATAAGAATAACAGGAAACTATTATTTTATGTTTGAAGAATTATGTACAGTTTTAACCCAAATACTCATCTACTAGAATGGGCGTGAGCAAGAAAAATAGAACTTATTGCTAGCCCAGACAAAAAAAGTTTGCATTGTTAAGGTTCGAACTATCTATAACATCCCCCCACCTCAACATCCATCCGCCAACCTCTTAATAAAAGAGTTCCTATAGCCTCAGATATTCAGTTGTCTAAATTCAGCTTGAAGGCCCTGCGCTACTATGAATAAATTAAATGATACTTGTTCTATGAGTAAGCGCCTTACTTGTAAGATTTGTGGCGATAAGGAGGTGCAAATGGTTTTTATACCATGCGGGCATGCCGTATCTTGCGTGAGTTGCAGTCAATCCGTAGTTATTTGTATTATCTGCAGGGCGCCGATTAATGCTAGAGTAAAATTTTTTCTGACTTCCAACTTTCCGGAACTAGCCGAACTCAACTGAGCGCGGTGTAATGCAGGGGAGGTGGTAAATTCGTGGGTTGGTGGAGTGGAGGTGGAAATACATAACATATATAAGGAGGTCCCGACCACGTACCAGCATCAGACATTTAAGTGTAGCTGACCTGACCACCGTCATGAACAACCAAAATGAATACCAGGGTGAAGAAGATGAAGGAGTTAGGGAGATCATTCGTCAACTGGCCTTAGTAGCGCGCTTTGATGCCAACAAGCCAGGAATTGACGAATTTTGGGCCGCCGTAGAACGTGATGTAAGTTTTTAACTATTACCTTATGTTTATAAAATTACTACTCATTATGCTTATAAAATATCTAATCAATATACTTCTTTACAGGCTGCTGATGCTGCTGCTGATGCTGCTGCTGCCGCTGCTGATGGTGATAGAGAAGGCGCGGCTGGTCTAGCTCAACCTGCCGACGAGGATTTGGGCGCTGTTGGTCCGGCACCACCCGCCGAAGAGGGTGCAGACGCCGTTGGTCCAGCCCCACCCGCCGATGAGCCCGCCAGCGACGACGACGATGAGGGCATTGAGGCTGATTGCCCTGGATCACCGACTTCAATAAGAAGGGAGCTGGCTGTATTTCAGGCCAGAGGCGGTAACCACTTCTGCGTTACAACCAGCTCCGTTATTGTGAAGTTGGTTATTCCTGGCATGGAACGGAGCAAACGTCTGTGCAACCCCTGCTTCCTTCATTACGAGCAGATGGATGTCGAAAGAAATCCAAATGCCAGGTACATACATGAGCATCAGCATTTTGTTGTAGAAGGGGGGGATTTGGAGGATCCGCAAACATGCGATGTATGCGCCCGATATATTTCCCACTTCTGCGACACAAATGTTTGCCCTGTATGCATCGGCGCTTGAAATAAAGGAGTCAGGGGTTGCAATACGGCGGCTTTGTTATGCATCCAATGACCCTCTATATATTAGTTTTAGATTTAATTGGTATAGTTTATTATTTAAGCTTTATGTATATATTTAAGTGTAAGTTATTTTATTATTGTATATGTAGTAGTTAATAGGAAAATAAAACTTGTTTTTTTTTAATCTTTATTTCATTTAATATCCATACTAAACAATATCATTTATATTAATCCAAGAGTTTTCTTGCTGTGGGAATCCCAACCACTTCACCAAGGCTTTGTCCCCTTTCGTCCGAATGACCTTTTCCACTAAATAAACATCTTTCCACTTTGTTTTTAATAATTCCAACTCATAAAATGAGCCTTTAATCGATTGACCATTCATATCTTCTAGAATGTATGTTACGGGGTATGTGCTATTTATTTTTCTTATTTTGAATAATTCAGTTGTATAGTTAGCAGTATACCCTTTTTCAAAT